TTCATATTTATTTTTCATGAAAATTTATAAGATAATAAAGATATAAAGATAAGAATTAATAAAATTCTCAAGACATTCAATATATAGTAAACGAATAAAAAAAATAAATCTTAATCATTTCATTAAAAAATTCTACTACAAAAATAAATTCATACAATCTTTTTCAATTCATTAGTTTGAACATCCATAGAATGAAATTATTTATAAAATATATATCATAATCATTTCAATAATATTTCTAGATTTAACTATATCTTATTTAAATTATATTCAAATTAAAGATTATTCGTATCACCTAGAATGAAATTTTATTTATTATAAAATATATATTATATTTTTTTTAGTTAGTATATTATTAGCCATAAGTGAATTCAAATTTTCTTTCGTTCATTGAAATTCTCTTATTCATATAGAAAAATTTATATATCAGAAATTCCATTTAATTATCTCTCAAAATCTAATCCAATCCTTTCATTTTTTCATAGATTTTTTCAAGAATAGAAGATCATTTCGATCTAGATACCATCGAATCCATCATATAATTTCCCAATCATGTAAGTTTTTAAGAATTTAAGAATAGCAGAAGAATAGGAATATATTATAGTAATATTTCAAATTGTAACACATATGTCAATATTGCAAGCTTCTAGAATGAATGTTTTCTTGCATGATTTTTCTTCAGACAATTCGATTGTGCCCACCTTGGTAAAAATTGTGCGATTCTCGAAGCAGTCTCATCTGCGAAGACAAGTGAGAAGTGAAACTATGGACCATCTGCCAGCCAGGGAAGACATCATCTCCGGCTGAAACTGTCGTATCACGCGGCTGTAAGACCTCTTTTGGAGACACTACCGCCGCTGGACAAGAACTTTGTGAAAAAATCAATGCTGGACCCAGAGAAAGCGCAAATTTTGGCACCGACTTTCGGCACTTAGAGGCATCATCTCGAGCCGCAGCTGTCTGGTTTAGATGCGGGAAGCACCCCACCGGGGGGGCAAGTCCAGACGTCCACATATCTACTATGTCATCCTATACATACATATGTATGTATATATAATTATAATTATATATATATATTAGGGATATTTGTATCATATATATATATCTACATATATATATATCTATATATCTATCTATCTATATATATATATATATTTGTTCATATACTAAGGCTGTCTGAACGAATCCTGTGGCGTTCGCTGCGAAGCAAGACCATCTGGAGGCCAAGAGACTTGCTCACCAGTCAGCAAGGTGGCCATGAAGCCGCTCCTGAAGGAGTTCCAGGAAATGCGGCACTGAGCAGGTTGAAGGTTTAGGGTTTAGGGGTTTAGGGTTTGGGGTTTAGGGGTTTAGGGTTTACGGTTTAGGGTGCTTATTCAGGACTGCGAGAGGCTGATGAGGATGACGTGCATAAGCTCCAAGCGTTCACATCCCGAACTCTTTGCTCCAGAAAGCCCTAGCACCTGAATCTCGAGCATTGAGCTCTAAAAAATTGTCCAGCAACTTCCGAAGCGTTAAACTTCTGGGGAGAGAAGAAGGGCGGGGTATATTTTTGTCTGCATCCCGTGTGTTCTGGATTCCCAACACAGCTCCCGAAGTTGGTGCTGTTGGTGGTGATATCCACCACATTCACCAAGCGATCCACCACATCGCCCTGGTCTCCACCAGCTTCAGGCGATCCCCAGGAGGTCACCGTGCCGTTTTCTTTGAGCGCGGCGAAAGCGGCCCAGGAAGCAGTAATCTGAAGAACCTTCTGAAGCTCGTGTCGAACTGCTGACGCGTCACCACCGGAGTCACTGTTCCCCCAAACCTGCACCGACCCGTCGTGCAACAGAGCTGCAAAGGCTTCGTCGGAGGCCTCCAGCTGTCGAACCCCTCGCAGCAAGAAGTGGCCGTGTACACCCCATGCGATGACCACACCATCTGTCCGGAAAGCCGCGAAAGCCGCATCACTGCGAAGACCCATGACTTCCTTACTGCGGCTCTCAACTTTCGAAGAAGAAGTAGCTAGCTCAAGTGCATGTTCTTCTAGACCCGACATGAAAAACTGCTACCAACTCCTGCTCTGCTTCTTTGATGCTGTGGAGCTCCGGTCGTATGTCGTCATCATATCTGATGTCGATCTCCGGAGTTCCCCAGGTAATCACAGTGTCCCTTGTCAAAGCGGCGAAGCCTTCAGAACATCCGGCGAGTTGTGTCACCTGGCGCACTATCTGTCATAGAGGTGCCTACGTAACCAGACCCAAGCCTGCAACGCTATAAGCTCTGCCAAGAATACACCAGAAAAGTACATGGACATAAGGATCCTATGATGCTATAGTTGAGGTGTAGGGATATAGGGATGCCTGTGGGATCCGGACGACACAAGTACGGGCAGTGTACTAGCACCAGATAGTGTTCCCCGCACTTCCATTCCTACATGGAGTGGAGGACCCTGTGATCTCTTCAAGCAAAACGTATTCTTAGACATTATAGCGGAACTCCTCACCGGGAGGGGCCGTTGCTGATTGCCTAGTGCTTCGCACTCCAATTGTGTGACGGGTGGGGAATAAGCTCAGTATATGGTCATGAGATGTCCGGATAAATACACAACGACCCTCCCTCGATTCCTCGCCTTAGCATCGCCTCTCAGTTTCGGTTTCCCACTCCCCTGACTTCCTTCCTCCGGTCACTGATTTCGTGATGCCGTGCATAAACTCTAAACACAAGGCTTTAGGGTTTTATTTTTTTGAGCGCTCCTTTTCCGGTCCGCAGACAAGTTTAGGCTTTAGGTTCAACTCCTAGATCCAAACGTGAACCCTAAATAGACCCTAAACCCTAAAACCCTAAAACCCTAAACCCTGTCCAGCCTCAACAAGCTGATCGCGAACATGGCCACAATCGCCTCCCAGTTCCTCAACCCCGGCTCTCTTGGTAAAAAAAAAGGGTTTGGGGTTCAGGGCTTGGTTTTAGGGTTTAGGGAGTTAGGGTTTTAGGGTTTAGGGAGTTAGGGTTTTAGGGTTTAGGGAGTTAGGGTTTTAGGGTTCAGGGAGTTAGGGTTTTAGGGTTCAGGGAGTTAGGGTTTTGGGGTTCAAGGGTTGGCCTTAAGTCATGCTTGAAACATACTCGCTCCTAAGATCTTCTTTGGCCCAGTAACCGTAGGCACAAAATGTCCAAGTGGCCTAGCAGATGGTATCAGGCCAAGAGTAAACAGGTTGCAAACTCATCGACTAAGGCTCGGAATCACCCCAAGAGACCACTCTGCCGTCGTCGCGCAGGGCTGCGAATGCCCAATCGCTGGCAGCTAGGCTCTTCACCTGCAGCTGCGGTTTATAGGGTGTGTGTGTGTGTGCGTGCTTTTGTACGGCTTTACATGCTTGACAGGAAGTTTAGGGTCCTAGAAATTTTAAGGGGTTCAGGCTCGGGGAATAACTTGCTACAAACGGAGGTCACGCACAAGTTTCTTTATGCAGCGGTTAATGAAACCATGAGGGGAACGATAACAACAATGCTAGCATTTCGGCGGGCTTCTATGCTTGGACAAGTCAAGGCTTTTCTTGTCTGGGGTTGCGACTCAGAGCCTTTGCAGCTTAACATCTTAAACACATGGGCCTCATCTGTCTGGCTTCATTTGTGGCCATTGACCTTTGCCTCACACATCTGCCGGCAGGTTTAGGGTTTCTGTCTTTTTGTCTTTCAATCCATCTAACGTGTGGAAGAGAGGTTGGAAAACAAAACAATTATACCGAAGCCTCCACGTACACAAGTTCAAGGGGCATAAGGACATTGAAGCTCTGTTGTCTCCTACAAATTGGAACAGACACATACCCTGTCTGAGAATGCTTCCTTTCGGATAACGCTTCTTCTATGCTTCGGTCACGAATAGTAGGCCAGCTCACGTTGCAGAGACTGTGCTGCACATCCTCGCTGTCACCTGGAGGGATCCGAAAAAGAGCCCCCGTAGTCCCTGAAGGCAGACAGCGGATTATACTATGATGAACCCCCAAGCCCTAACGCTAAACCCTAAATTCAAGCCCGAAACCCTGAAGCCATACCACCCACACAAGGGTCCCTAATGACCATGGGAAGCCAGATTAACCAACAGCGGATCCTTCTCGAAACACGACCCTTTTGAAGTTCCTGTTGGTAAAAACCTTATCAAAGCTTATAAAACCCATGGAAATCCTGATGAAAGGCTTTTACAAGACCCCCCAAAAGGCATCATTTCGTACCGCTGTCGGATTGTCAGCAGGTTGCAGTCCAGTTTGCAGTCATCACAAGGTTGTAAAGTGGGTTGTGAAGTGGCTGCCAAGTATCCCGTGTATACATACATACATACATTCATGCAGACATA